TCACAGGATAAAAAAGGTGGCATTTCATCGATTCCGACCAGCGAATATTTTATGACTCATGGCCTATCAACCAAAGTAGAGTTTGCGAATGGTATTGGATGGAACGTAATGGAACTCTAAGCCACTTTAAAAAAATGACAGAGTTATCAACAATTTCAAAACCCACGGTGGAGTTCGAGAGGAAAGTTTACGATCAAAATGACCTACGTGCTGTTTCCCTCTAGAACCCATATCTTGAGTGCCCGCTTTCGTTAATATTCGTTCTATCATAGTCAGGGCCGACAAGGTCTTCTCAGACATCTCCCACATGTCTTCTTATGTTGCCCTACACTCAATGCTCTCTCCAACACAATTATCAGTAGGTATAATTGACATCTTCACTTCCAGCCCCATCCATGTTTTGCAGATGATCCCGTCCTTGATCGCTCCATGAACGGCATCTGCCGAAACGAGTTACACATCTGGTCATCAATGATCTTTGATCTTGACCGAGCATCAGTCTGGAGTTGACCCAATACACCTTCCAAACTGCTTGTCTGTCTACCTTTCTTAAAGATGATACCCAGTGCACCCCACCCTCTTTCAGTTCCATATCAAACTGTGTTTCTCCTATGGTTTTATTTATCCTTATCTTGCTCTTGCACTGCATGTACAATAGACATCACCTCAGGTGCATCCAAAGGTATTTATTTCCATTTCATTCCAGAAGATTTGTCGCACTTTCCTAACTCATCGGTTTCCACAATTACCAACTAAGCCTGAGTCTTACTCCTTTGTAGTTGGGCATCGACAACTTCCCTGTTTCTTCTTCATCCTGTTCAACATAACGGTATCCGCATTATCGCTGAGTATCCCTCGGCATTCCCTAGCTGATCGTCGCTTCACTATTACCTGCTTTTTGCTCGCAGAAAAGTGTCTGCGGTTACAGTTTTCCGTCCTTTTACTTTTCCAATCCACAGATCGGAGGTCACTTATCCGTTCCATATCATGAGCATGTCATGAGCTTTCTTTTGCATGTTCACTGTAATTTTTCAGATCAATATGAAGTTCTTTCTCTCCTTTCTCTCTCACAGTCCTAGCGTTTTGATCGCGGATTCGATAAACCGGTTTTGAAACGAATATTTCAAATCACGCATTATTTGGTAAACCTAGATTTTAGATTATGATATTTTTCATGTAATCACAAACCGATTTATTCAGCCGGAGTATATGGTGTGGAATGGACGTAAATCACTACTCTCCAATGCGGTAAGACATGTGTACCTAAATGCAACTCATGAATGGACCCACTTGAAGGTTATTACTAATTAAGATGTATGTATTTGAACAATTAGAGCACTCTGTACCACCCAGTTAAGAACACTTTAGAAACTCAAATCGAATTAAAACCCACTATCGTCTTTATCCGAAAACTTAGCAGGCTATGCATTTGACCAGCACAGGATTTCGGAACCAAAAGTAAATATTATACGGAGTCATCAAGAGCAAATGTCACCGTTTCCGATCAAACGAAACAACCGTGTAGCCCTAAATGAAAGGAAACACTGTAGCAGAGATTGCGTCTGTCCCGGTGTTTGAATCCCGACTGAGCTGCCAAACGCTTTCGAACTTGTATTGATCTATAATATAAAACTTGTCATTGAGAGAAATATCATAGAACAGTTCAAGTTGGAGAGAAAAATTCTTTGTTTAGAAAACTTAATTATTTTTAGTCCTTTGATCAGAGCTTTGAAAATGCCACACACCCACACACATGCACATGAACACAAACTGACAGTGGTGTTTCCGGGAATAAATTACCTGTCTTGATCATGGTATGCGGGCAGTTCATCTGTGGCGACTGTGTCCGAGAAGTGGGCATGAATCTGATTCAGGGTAGGCGGATGCGATTCATTGTGGTGAATGTTAGTTAGCGATGATATGGGAAGATTCGGAGAGGATTTCTCATTGCCCGATCGATTGTATATGGGCACTGATTCCGCGGGGGCGATGGGTGTCTTTGGAAAGAATTAAAACCATCGTTGAGTTACGGAAGAGGACGAAATGTGACAAAAAATTAACACACACACACACACGCTTTCCTCAACTGAACGCTCTAGATCCACGCGACTAAAATGATCTCTCCATATGCCAGTTGCAGTATCAAGTCACAATCTATGGTAAAACAAGGATATCCGATCAGAGTGCTTAGGTTTAATCGGAACACATGTTTAGTGCAATGTTTCAGGTAAAAAAAAATCGATCAAAGATGTCCCTGAGCAAATACGATTTGTTTATATTATTCGTAATATTAATGACGGCTTAGTTTATGATAAACTGTGATAGTGAACCAGTTCAAAATTTTTGTACCTCATCTTCTTTGAATGTACGGAACTAACAGCACGCGATGCAGCACGCATTTTCGTTAGTGTCCAGAAATAAAATCGCTGTAAAACCCAGTGCATTATTGTTCATATCAGACAATTTCAGTCAGGTTTAAATAAACAAAAGAAGGGCTGTTCATAAATAGCGTCACTTCATTCGCGCTGAATCATTGATGACTGGCTGGACTTCTGTGGAGCTAAAAGGTGCCCGAGCTGCTGTTCCAAGTACATAATTTCTATTGCGAGGTTGACACGAACTGGTGGTACAAAGCGGGCATGAAAGAGGGAGAATCTTTCTAAAAAACAATGCATTGAGTCTTAATGCTAATTGCGAACAGTGCACACACTTGTCATTATAGCCACCACGGCTACTTCTCTGTTTGTCATAAAGACGGATCAGGATCAGAGGTTGCTATTTCTCATTTAACTCACAATTACTTGTGAATAGTTGTTATTACTGCTACCCAAACAAACCGTTGCAGATTGGTCAGCTGTGACGGAAAATGAATAAATAGGATAGAGATGGTGAAGTATCATGATGAATGATCTCTCAAGTGTCCCATACCCCTAACTGACCACTGTCACGTTCAAATCCGAAACGGTTAAAAACAAACTATTGGTGCTGTGCCGGAATTCATCTCCAGGGGAAGACAAATTACAAGTATGAAATAATTGCCCATTTATACTAGATAATGTTCGATAGGACGAAGATCCCTCAATCCTGGAAACACAGCATTATTTCGCCTATTTACAAAGGTGGTTGTAGAAGTGATCCTGCGAACTACCGTCCAGTTACACTTATTCCTGCTCTGTCAAACATAATGGAATCAATTGTTGATGATTCTCTGATGGATCATTTCGAGAAGTATAAAATACTTTCGCCGGCCCAACACGGGTTTCGAAGGAAACGCTCATGCACCACAAACCTGCTACTTACACGAGATGAATGGACAAGATCAGTCGACGCAGGATAGGCAGCAAACGTGGTATAGTTAGACTTCTCCAAAGCCTTTGACAGGGTTAACCACCATACATTGCTGCGAAAGCTCCATAATTACGGTGTCCGAGGACTGCTACTTGACTGGATTGAGGAATTTCTTCGACAACATACCATATCGGCTCGAGGTAATGGTTCTCTGTTGGGACCGATTGAGGCTGTCTATGGAGTTCCACAATAATCCGTACTCGGTCCGTACCTTCCCTAGCATTCATAAACGACCTACTAGATATTGTTGGAGAAAAGGCATTATTATTCACTGGTGACGTCAAAACATGGAGGACGGTGAAATATCCTGAAGATTATGAAACCTCACAGGAAACTCTCGACGCAGCTTATCGATGGTCCATCATTAATGACATCGAAGTCAAGGTTGAAAACATGCAAGGTTGTATCGCTGCGCTACAAGGGTCGCTTCCCATACTTACTTGGAACTCAGCCATTGCCGCGTTCTCCAAACGAAAAGGACCTGGGAGTTACCGCTCATGAGGATCTAGGATATTCCACACAGTGCGCAAAAGCGTCTTCAAAGGCTCTAAAACACGTTGGATTGCTAAAAGGTGTCTTTGGATCATTCGAAACAGACCTATTGCCCCGTTTATTATCAGCATACATTAGACCACACACCTAGTATGCTATACAAGCTTAGAATCCATGGCTGATTCGCGACCAAACGGCCCTTGAACGTCCGCAGAGAACAGCAACCAAAATGGTCAAAGGGTTGCAATCTAGGACCTACGGTGAAAGACTGCGAATTCTTGGACTCTATTCGTCTGAATACCGTCGAATACGGGGAGGTGTGATCCTCGTTTATCAGATATTACATCAACCTAAACAGCCGTTTAGTTTAGGAATGGTCACCTCCGAAGAAAATCCATTTAAACGTCTGCTTCAAAAGAGCCGGGTCAACTGCAGGCGTCATTCTTTCAGCCTCAGAGTTTGTAACACTTGGAACTCTCTTACACTTCAAGCTGTTTGTGCACCAACCATCGATTCATTCAAGTCATAACTGGATGAAGCAATGAACCACCTAACTTTTCAGTGCTCATTATTGAACGTCAGAATTTGCTATTCAATTGTACTACCAACCGAACCCGGTGTGTACAGACCCTATGGGATTAAATAAGCATTAGCTTTGTAATTGATCCACAATAAAAATTTGAATTTGGATTCGGGTTACAGTTGTTATCATTGGCGGGTTTCTAGTTTCAAGTGTCGGATGTCGATTTTCGTCATATCCAAAATAAATGTGTGGAAAATTTCTTTCCCTTCTGCATGAATTACAAGACCATCCTTGAAGAGCCTATGTAGTTCACTTTTTCAAGTTCTCTGGATTGCGTCACTGGTTCCCGTTTCTAGAGGCTTACATTTATTTTGTCACAAGAAGCGGTTATAAAATATCCGTTAGCTTTTCAAGATAACCATCAAAATTAGGTTCAACTAAAGAATTCTCAAAGTGCAACCACCCAATAGCATTTTCCAAGAGATTTTAAGCAAACAACCATACTCTCGAAAGACCGTTGTACACAGATTTTTGGATTGTTGGCGCTATTTCGGATCCGTGAGCACATACCTTTGCACATTCAAACAATAATTGTGCATGTAAATCACAATCTATCGATCGACAGAATATGCTGTCTTCAATTGGTCACTGCTGAGTTGGCAGAGCGAGGGAATTTATGATCATTAATCAATAATTGTACCTGATTTCGTGGCTCCTTTACCGTTTCTTTGTGACCATTCACAGATAATTCGATTTCACGGCACCGGCGTATTAGTCGCAATTCGTTGTGAACAAAAGCAGTCAGCTCACGTTCCGCCTCTTCAACCGAACTAAATTCAAACAGAAACTGGAAGTAGGGTAACATAATTAATTACCATATTGTTGACTTTATGTATGTATGTGTTTGGGTTGAGGATTGAATGGGATGTACACATTGGAATTAATCAATGCATTTTACGAACGGAATTTTATTGTTCCTAGGAGAATGGCTCTATTCGCTGAGAGGAAGTAACACGTATTTTTCAACTACATGACAGTTCAAGATTAACTGTGTCTCATTTCAATAATACATTTCTTTCCCAAACCCCTATGGTTCAATTTATTATTCCCAACCCTTAAAACAGATATGAGATATGAATAATTGTATGGGGAAATTTGATTTCATCTCGTAGAAGAATCTGCTGCATAACAAACGAAGGAGACGCCCACAAGAAGTCAGAGATGCAGCACTGTACGACTGTTATTCGATGGCCATCGATTGAACGGAGAAGTAAATTAACCACCAATCACGTTCAGACTGTTTCTGGCGGACGGCGGACGGCTGATATCAGACAATATTAATGCGATTGCAAACAGCGATTTCGCTATAGCCCCTGTGGTGTTAACACATCAGTTTATCTGATAACCTGCATGCTGGTTGAATGATAAAAAACATTGGGACCTTAAGTTTACGAGTTCAGTCCTCAAAAGGACTCAATGAATTCCTTCAATCAGCAGGATTTAAACTAATTTATAATGCTTCCATTCTTTTCATTTTACATCTCATTTGCTTATCGCGCGGCAGATTCATCTCCAGGAACGGCATTTCACTAGCGACGGGGTCCTGTAAATTAAGATCTTAATGTTTTTTATTAAAAACATTTTACTTCCTTTTACTGAATATATAAAGATACAATTTTCAGGACGGGGGAAGCGGCCAATCACTACACAATACACAAATAAGGAAAATTAGGCGGTGGTGGTGGGATTCAAACACTCGTCCTCCTGGGTGATAATTGGTGACGTTACCACTGTTACCACTGTGACGTTACCGTTGTCTGATATTTACACCGAAGACTGATTGATGGTAGATGAGGTACGCTGAGATCGCTCTGACGAATACCACAGGAATGTCACGATTGAAAAAAATGAATTACTGTATTCGGAACTAGTTGCAATAACCTCCAGCTACACTTTAGATTAACACGAATCTATGTAAAAAATTTTCTTGTTGCGTTTATTTGAACAAAATGACCAAATACTCAAACGATTTGAGCGGAATATTTTCCACGTTTAATTGAGTTTGAGCACGAATTCAGTGATAGGTGAAACAATGTGCATACTTCAACGGAATGCAATGCGGGAGCTTATCCTTTGAATTACCTGAAAATAGATGGTGAAAAAAGAGGGTGGTGGTGGTGTTTGAAAGTCATGTGACGGAAAATGAAAGAAAGTAAGTTGATGGAAAAGTGCAAGGATATGACAGATGGACACATGAGAGAGAGAAATGGTCGTTGCCTTGGGCAACATCATTGTCTTTGATGCGAATTGGTTCGAGATAGGGGTTACAACATACACACGAAAGAACACACACGCGGAGAGAGAGAGACACACACACAAACGAGTAGCCAAACACATTTAGATTCATCTGATGAGAATCGGGAGTTTGGAAAAACGATGAGAACACAAATACAAACAACATGCTTGAACTTTGGAAGGTTGAACAAGACGCAGTAATGTAATGATGTATTGAGAGCCAACATTTTAGTTTGGAAAATGTGTAACTAGACTGTTTAAAAGGTTACTTCTGATGTAGATACCACTCTGTTCGCCTTTTCCAGCTTTAATTTTTATGAGGAAAGGACATTCTAGGTGGAAAACTGGTCTCCGTCAATGAAATGATCCGCGGACCCATATGCAACAATTAACTGACTTTTGTGAATACTTAACTGATTCTAGCCTTTAAATTCACTTGAAACGATTGTGTGGGACGTAGATATTATCAGGCTAGATTAACTCAGGTACCTTCTAATCAGTGAATATAGCATTAAGAACGGTAGCATTCACAACAACGATTTCACGTCATTAAAAAGAATCTACATCGAAATAATATTAACACCAATATCTGTTGTATGTAACTTTATATTTGATTTCAGTAAAATGTTGCACCAACCGCGGTTTGATTATTTTACGCACCAAAGCAAAAGGTATTCACAAGTATATCAAGGGTTGTCAAAGTTGAATAATTGGATGAGTCTATTTGGCCATAACTTCAAAACTTATAAACCCATCGAGACCCAAATGCCTCAGACATATTTGAGCTATCCAAAAACATTACCTTATTAAATCCGGCCTCGAATGTAGAATTGACCAGGGCACCCAGTTTGTCAGAACTTCTCGAAAAATGGTATATCGTCCAGTTTCAATACGTGTTTGGATCGTGAGTATTTTTATAATTTCAATAGAAATGGGGAAAAATAGAATAAAATTGTAGTTAAGGCTGATGAGAGGAGAAAAAGGGCAATCAGAAGTGTTTAAAATGAGTGAAGGAAATTAGCGTGAATACCTTTGTGCACGAAAATCCCACCAAAATGGGAAATTTATTTTGAATGGAATTCAGTATTTCCCAGATGACTCATGATATTAACTGTTAGGAGAAATGTAAATCTGTTTGATGATAAGTAAATGCATCAACGTATTTGTAAATAAATTAATCAAAACTACTTCACCTTGATTAAAGGAAATTCAAAAGAAAATTGTTTGCAAACACCATCAAACATGATCTCATCGTTTAATAAGCAAGTGGTATCAATTTTCCACTTAAAAAGAATGATACAGACTTGCCACACGGCTTTGTACCATGTGCTAACTACAAGGCAGCAGCGCGTTGGTGAATGTTTGACGGTAGCACCTAAGGACCTAGTGCATGCCGCCGTTCGATTAAAGTAGAATCAAATCATTGTTAGTATAAAACACACCTTAACTGTGAAATCGTAAAGTACTTCTAATCTTCATATTAGTGAAAACTATCTTTAAATGTCACGCACTGTCTCATAGAGGTTTCGGCATCGGTGACCCTCGACCTATTTTAGCTCTCCTGTTTGGTGGCTGCCGTGTGCCTCAGTTTCTTGGAACAACCAGGAACAGTTGGGTGCCGGAAACCGAATAGGTAAAGAATACCACAAGAGACAAGACAGTCTACCAGCTCAGCAATGTTACCCTGTCAAATGCCCCTTGCGCACATACATTATTAATTTTTCTTCTTGAAATCGAGAAATTCCGACCCGGGTAGTTCCGTTCTTTTGCGATTAACCGATATCCAATTGTTCTAGTAGTATATATAGATAAATGCATTTAATAGAAATTGGAGACCACACTGTGTGCCAAACAAACCACGGCACAATAATATTTGTAAAAAGGATAAGAGTTCCATATGCCAGTAGTTTCTAGTCCGTTGCAATTCGTTGGGTTTGCAATCATAGATTTGTCGTCGATTATCCATACATGTTTGCAAAAATGATGTACTGCACTCGAAGGCAATGATGGCAATGTGTCCAGATGCTATACAAAATGGTAGCCATTGAATGACACCGATCAATGCGTTTTTCATATTTACCCGGGTCAAGTTCTATCCCTAGTTTTCATTCATCTGTACGCGCTAACCGAATGACTAGAAAACGCTTTCGAACGGCTCTTTTTACTTAAGCATAACTAATTGAAACAGAATATCTCGGGGCGTTTACGGCCAATAGATGAAAGGATTCTTTCAGAAACGATCATTTCGTTATGTCTGAATTGTTCACCGCGAAGATCGTGTATGGTATCGAATAATCTATCATGATAAAGGTCGATCAACTTCGCCATCAAAACGCCAGTCCGGTGTTCAGTATACCTGATTTAGGAAACTGAGTCCTTTTTCACGAATGATCACAACGAGTTTGGGCTGAACACCAAAAACAAACAGAGATTTGTAGTGTCAAATCACACATGCTCTTAAACTCATTCATCCATAATTCAAAGTACGTCAACACGTTGTTGATCAATCACTACTATTACCACTTCGGTGGCCCTGTCCGGTGTAAAGCTGTGCCTACCGGATCGATAGTTTCCAGTGATACGTCAGCTGAGCGTAGAAAACATTGTGTCCGTTTGTTTGTACATATATTCTGTTTAGAGTTCACAAATACGTGCCAAAGACATAAACTTCCGGTATCCACTTCTTCAACCACGCCCTCGCTCTTCGTTTCTATTCCCCCCTCTCCCTCGCGGCTCGTCGTCGGCCCCCACAAGTCAACGAACGGTCAGGTCAGCTCTTTGAGAGCGTGCACATGTGTATACTTGTGATCGAGCAGGCGAGCGAGTAAATGTAAACAGCTGACGCAGAGGCAGTCCTGGAGCCCCGGTCCAGCACGCCGGATTCTGATGTTCCGTATCCATGCGGAATGGATAGGCTAAATGCGCTGACTATGGAAAACCGCAGGGTGCAAGTGACGAGATTACACAGTTCACAAGTAATTCAAGTCCGAATATTCTCTCCTCCCACTCTATCTCTCGCAAAGTTGCTTGGCATTGTATTATTGAACTGGCTTCATTTAACTTCCATGTATTCCTACACCGGTTTTCACTGATTGGACAAATGTCTAGGGGATACGTTCAAGAAAATTAGTGAATAAGAATTCCCTGAATGTGAAAAAGCTACTGAAGAGGTAAAAACGAGTAATGAAGGCTTCACTTTGAATAGGGATTAAATTTCGATGTATTTAGAGCACAGAGGACAGATGTATCGCGCTAAACCGTATTCAGACGGCGAGAAGCAATCTGTCGACCTGATTTGATGTAGTCAAGCTAAAATCCTACCTGCAGGATTTTGTATTCGGTTTCTCAATTTGGGTCCATGCAATCCTGAATCTGCTTACACTCAACAAGAACAAAACAAATGTCTTCATCATCCCAACTTTTCAGTCCACATTTTATTGACAATAGTAATAATGTACAGTTTAATAGTTTGTAGTAGAGTTCAAAGATTTTATGTGAGAATTACCTACAAGCTCATGCGTCTCATGTTCGATAGACTATTTTGACAAACTAGTCGTTTTTGAAAAATGAGAAATTCCATAAACAATTCCGGGTATAGCGATATCACATGATATAGCCTTATTCCTCTATATGATGCATTCACTCATAGTGTCACTTCATGTCAGCGCTTCATGAAGTCTGCGCTTAAATGATCCAATAGTTTTCACACGAACGACGTAAAATGGGAGAGCGTTCCAATGGAGCAGAGAAATGTCACCAATACTCCAACTAACCTTTCTAAAGAATCAACTTAAAAGGATGAACCTTGAGTTGGATGGTGATTGACAACGTTGGCTGCGAAAGACTTAAATGATTTGGATTCTCTATCATGATATATCAAATAATAGAGATCCCAAATTAATATTAAAATTTTAAAACAAAGTTTCCTGAAATTCGGCAATAGCGAATGGAATACAGTGCCAGTGGTTGTAATCTGTTCACGTGGATATGAGAATAAAACTCTTGGGATATCAGGTGCTCATCATCTGTGGACAATCCAGAATGTTACAATCATTTGTTACCAAAGGCACCAGATTTGGATGGTGAACTCTGTACAAAACTGAATGTACGCTGATTGCAGGCATACGAACAGTGATGATTCAAGCCGATCAAAGATACATTTGAGGAACCGGACACTCCTTATAGCTATAAACATCGCTCAGGTGCACTT